CTAGCTCTGAAGTGCGTGCACATCTGAACATATTGATGAATCTCACGCCCATCATATACACATTTCAAGCTGCTAGCAGATAATGGGTTTAAAGATTTGCCAAACTAAATGGGAAGAAAATGAAAATCTGTATCAGAATATGTTCCGAACACAAGGAAGTATTCAAAAGTTTAAAAAAAACAAAAACGAGAAAAGGATGAAGTTGAGTGTACGCGCTGCAAATGGTATGGCCCAATTATTAAATGTAAATATTTCTAGGCCAATAGTTCTAGGTCTACAACAGTAAACTGTTTATTCAAATGAAAAGTTTTTTGGGGGGATTAGAGATATATTGTTTTCTTAAACTTGGAGGTAGCATTGTGTTTTGAGTTCCGCTTTAGTTCTGCAGCAAACCACATCGATGAATAGAATTCAAAGCAATAATCTACTGAATACTTTATTTCCCCTGTCATTCCACCCACCAAAACAACCCCCGATGTTTACCCAGAAAAATTATGAATAGTTTTTTGCTCTGATTTTCACCTGTTTTTGTTGTGTTGGTAATAAACACTCAAATTCCTGGAAAAAATAAAATACAATAAAAACTGAAAATGAAGGGCCCTAGTTATAGCATATACCTTCTCACCTTTGAGCACATTTTGAAGTGGGAGACAGAGACAGAGTGCTTCCATTTAAATGAAAAATGGGACTAAGGTTTTGTCTAGCTGCACAAATGATACTGCTTTAACTATACAGGTACAGTTAAAGTTGGTACAACTCGAGTGTGGATGAGGTTAGATGGGTAGAAAAGTGCTTATCCGGTAAAGCTTATTCCCATATGGGAAGGGGTATAAGTTGCTTTTATTCCTGTATAATAGCATCTACCCTGGGGATTGTATCAGTAAGGCTATTTAAAAAACAAAAAAGCACACTTCTAATTGATATAGTTATATTGATATAAAAATTATGAGTAGACTAGGCCCAACCCTCTACAGCCACTTTACTTAGAGTGTTTGCCTTATTTGAATGCTTAAGAAAGAATGAGCACACCACCAACTTGTATTACTTTGAAAGCATTTTATGTTGTAAGCCTGTCCCTTCTCAAGATAAAGCGATCCTTTAAATATTTGTTATAGCTTTCTCATCTTTATTTGAGATGTCTATAAAGTCTGCTTTTATGTCTTCCTCTTTGAGCCAATGACTCAAAACATTTATGGCCCACATTGCTTATTTCTCAGTGTGTTGCTTTTCTCTGCTTTCTTCAGAGGTTTCTTTATCTCGTCTCTATTAACAGCTGCATGCTCCCTTGCTGTTTTAACTTTATTTTGGATGGGGTTGACTTTTTTTTCTTTTCACTTTTAACAACTCAAATTAGTGTGATTTTTAGAGAGCGAGCAATATTCCAGTCTCTCCTGAAGTTACACTATTTTCTATGCAAATCTAATTTTAGAATATGCGGACTTTGAGGAAAAACTGATGTGTACTGATGAGATTTTCAGGGAAAAGATTTAATCAGTCTTGGTCTGTGCCTACCAATAGATATACCACAGCGATGAGGGCATTAGAAATGCATATATAGATACCAGTAAAGCTGCCTAAAAGCATTTCTGTAGAGCTGTTACCCTCAGGGACTGAAGTCTCCATTACCGGGCATCAGCACTATAGCAAAGGCAACTACATTTAATCAGCCTGGATG